TGGACGAACGAATGGTTAAACTTTTCGTTACCGGCATAGAATAACATGGTATTGAATGGGCTTAACAAAAGAATGTAAAAACGAATGGACGAACGGAGGGAACGGATGGACAATATTATTCAGTTATCTATCATTCAGGAAATAGTTTTAGGGTTAGTCTCGATTCGGTTGTGCAGAATATTCATGTGTTGCTGTAAAGGTCCGTGGAATTTCGAAGTGTTTGTATTGTTGAAGTTGTGCATTCCTTAACTTGGCTACTTTGATATTTTTGACTATTTAGACACCGATTTGAGGCTAACCCTGAGTAAATGAGCCTGTAATCAAGGAACACAGCGGTAATTTGGAACTCGAAACTGGTCTATTTTAATAAATGATACTTATTCATTAGTCTCACGATTGAGGGTCATTTGTAGAAGCCGGACCGGTCCTGGTCTTCGTCAGGCGATTGTTTAGACTGGATGGTGAGTCTGCCTTGTACAAATAACTCTCCATCGTGAGACAAATGAGTAAGTAATGTCCCTTATTATATGAACGTTTTGCTTTATTGAAATTATAAGGATTAAAAAATAAATAAAACACAAAGAAAAGGCACGACCAGCCTCGTTTTCATGTTTTTGGCATGTTTTAATCAGAGGGGGGGATCTAGGACCGTTGACTATGCAAAACGATATATTGGACAACGAAAAAAAGTAGAAGAAATGCACCCCAAACCCGGATCTTAAACAACAAGGGGGAGGGGCAGCGCCATCGCCGCACCCTCCCTCTTATTTAACCAGTTTTAAAGTTTCGCATTAATTTCCATTCATACTTTGAAAACTGTGCACACTAATAATCCACTTTCGATCCACCACATAGTGGCAAAATTTTCCTCGGGGGCACTATTTTAAGGTTCTATTTTTGGTGGATAAAACCGTTTTCAGTCTTTTTTACTTAATTATTTTCATTTAAACTCCATACCTTGGTGTTGTACTTGGGCAAGGGATCCTAAAACACTCATGTCAAAACACCACAATTTCAAATGCGGTCCTAGGGCATGATCTTTATAAGTTACCGACGGTTGTAGAAACCCTATTTGCAAAACAGGTTTCGTCGATAAGGCATAAACAGGCGATTCTTCTTTAGCAGGCACCGTTAATCCATGCTGATTTCTTCGACATTTCAAAGCACGCTGGAGATACATGCTTATGGTTATGTTTCTGGCTGCTAAGAATGCTTCAAACGGTATTGCTTTTTGAGATGGCTTGACTGGATCCGTGTGAGTACTACCAAGTCCACTGTCAATGTGATCGCCATCTTGTGACGCTATCTTGAAGTCAGCATTTCCAAGGATGCCTTGGCTTAGCGAAGACATCAATTCGCAGGAGTAAAAAGCGTCAACATTCTCTAACGTAAGTGTTCTTAACAGCTGCATCTACGTAAAGCAAGGTACATAGATGTAGACTCGGTCTCATTACAACAATAGAAAAATTGTTTTATATGAGAAATAGTTACCTGGCACTTGCTAAGAAAAATATCCACATTTGTAACCAAGTTCAACTCCATTGAGCACCCGCACACAGGGATGCTATCTGTAAAGGATTTGGATGTGTTTCTAGCATCAGCGACTGTTCTTTCCATGGTAGTTGCCGGAGCTATTACAATTTTGAAGTCAGATCCCGTAAGGACAGGAGATACATGCACTTCTTTAGCTGATCGCCTAATAAACCAAGGGAAACAAATTAAGATGGTAGGTAGGTAGGTAGGTAGGTGGGTGGGTGGCTGGGTGGGTGGCTGGCTGGCTGGGTAGGTAGGTAGGTAGGTAGGTAGGTAGGTAGGTAGGTAGGTAGGTAGGTAGGTAGGTAGGTAGGTAGGTAGGTAGGTAGGTAGGTAGGTAAACAAATAATAGAATTAACAGTGGATTCCACAATGGCTCTTCACCCCGATCGCATAGCCAAGACGCGTAGCCCCTCGTTCAATGATCGAATTGGATTTTTTTTTTAGTAGCTGATGTTTGTGAAGGGAGGAAAACAATGAAGATACCATATACAGATACATCTGGCACCCTTATGTTTCGTGTCTTCCAAGGGACTCGTTAGCCTCCTTCGCAGACGTTGTCCACCAACGTCTGCTTACTTTAGCAGAACATTACTTTCCAAAATTTGGCCAATCAGCATGAACCTTCCATAATCGAGAAGGTTCATGCTGATTGGTCAATATTTCGCCAATATTGACGAAAGTAAGCAGACGTTGGTGGGAGAGAAGCGTTGCGTGACGACCCTAACAACGTCTGCGAAGGAGGCTAGGGACTCATTAGAACCTTGTGTGGTAAACCATCTTTTGGAACATTAATTTCATCCTGGCGGGACTTAGAAAGCGATTTTCGACGTGTCAAAATAAGCACCAGCTTCACACGTTGCGTTTCCAAATCGTTTTCAACTGGCGTATTTATTGGATACGCGTAGACGGAAGGCCAATCCGCAAAGCGCGAAAAAAAAAAAACGTTTTCGAAAATAACCGGATACGTACGGGCTTGTGTCCACTATTTATTGGCGTGAGGAGAGTAGTGGGAAGTAGCACAAATGCATTTTTTTCAGCTTCCATTAGAATGCCCAATTTTTTCAGGACCCCCTGTTTATTTCCAGCATTATTTCAATACCTCCCTTTCCACCGTCACTAACATTTTCCATCCCCCCACAATTTCCCACCCACTACCCTACTCCCCTCCCCCTCCGATAACTAATGGATATTTACTAATTAACCAATCAATTAACGTTATGCAGGGTAATAAACTTATAGGATATGAAAACGCCTTACCAAAGTTGCGTATTCCACTCTAAAGCAGGATTTTGATCCATCAAGGGACTGCTTCCAACATCCCCTTGTTTGTTCAAATTACCGCATAACTCTTTCCACTTAGTTGTCCAAACACCAAACCCTGAGAAAACCATTTGATACTGTATCTCATGCACTTCATATCCCAAAGCRTGCCTAGAGCTACGTCCAAACTTCTTGAACTTTTCGTATAAATCTTCGTTCAAAACCGTGCGACCAATGGGGTTTTCTGGATGCGGAGTAGCAGTAACCGCTGACAAGTGGACAATAACCAAATCCTCGTGTAGTGACTCAGAAGAAGAGGCAATTTGAGTTATTTCCGAGCAGGGAAGGAATAGTCTAATGTCTCTCATATTCATGAACAGCAATGGAAGAAGGCAAACAGACAAAGTTACATTGTCGTTTCCATCTTTTGCTTCTTTATCGACGTCGAAAAAAGGTTTTGAATTCTCACGTGAAGGAAACTTGAATTTACAAAGTAGACTTGCATCAAAAACGTCAATACCTGCCACGATTATTGGACTCCACAATACGACATCGAAAGGTTGGACACTAAGACAAACTTCGTGTTGAATTTTTAAGCATTCCTCAATACTCGGTTCCTTTCCACTCTTCTGGGAATACGAATGCTTCCGTTTTAAATGAAGACTGGAGCGATTATAGGTAATGTTAAAGAAACCATGTGGACCACTAGCCGGACCTTCGTGCTGGTTAGCAGTGCTTGGTATTCTCTGAGATGTGACAAGCGGTGGATTCTTATAGGTTAAGATGTCTTTGCAAGATAACAGGATACCTCCAAAGGGGCCTGGAAGCCACGTAGAATCCCTGTTTGGAGGGATACAGAAAGACATTAGACAAATAGAAAATATTTGATTGTTAATAAACAAATCAACAACAACAACAACAACAATAATGATAATTAACAATTATTCGCCGAAGGCGAAGTGAATATCGAGGAATACATGTATTTACTAAGGCTCAGTGATTGCGGTGATATTTACCTCGCCGCTCGAAGACTCGCAGCTCGGTAAATATTCATTCCACCGATAATCCTTCGGCGAATAATTGTACATTATATTTACGAATTTTGCCGATATAATTAACACCCTAATTGGTTGAAACATGACCACGCGACACTAGCTAAATCTAAGGCACCGTTCACACGTATCCGGAAATTTTTGTATCCGCAAATTATTTTTTGCGGATACGAAAATGTTTTGTGTCCACACGCAGTGTATTCGAATCGTTTTCACCGTCCACACGTATCCGTTTCGTAAAATTTGCGGATCCGGACACAAAAATTTGCGGACACGTGCCGTGGACGCAACCCGTATCCGCAAAAAAAATTTGCGGACACAAAAATTTGCGGATACGTGTGGACGGGGCCTAAATGTCTCCCGACCGGGAATAATAAGTAGCTCATTTCCCGGTCGGGAAACAAGTCGCACGTGACAAGAATGGTGAAAATAAACCAGTGATCACAACGTGAAAAAGCGGGTGGCGTGATCAGTTTTGCACGAATCACAAACAACGAAGTGGGAGCAGGTATTTTGCTGGAATTTTCAGTACAAATGGAGCTTGAAGCAAAAAAAAAAGATTTTTCCAGTGTTTCTAGAGAAGAAATACAGACTTCATTGAGAAAAAAACTACGTAAAATACAAAAAGCGGCTAAAAATTATGCTACTACTCTCCTTCCGTATGCGAGTTGTATTTGTAAAATCATTTATTATGCATTTAGCTTGCTAAATAAAGTTCTTATTTCGTAAGAAGAAGTTCTTACTTCTCTATATTTTTCAATAGACCTATCCCGAATTCGCTTGACTGACCACGAAACAGTGGTTTGAAGTCGAGATTGAACTTGTTTCTTTTATTCATCAAGTTCAACCTCGACTTGAAACCATTGTTTCGTGACCAGTCAAGCGAATTCGGGATAGGTCTATTGCTTTATAACAAACACTTAATAATGTCTGGTCCCTCGGGAAATTAGTTAGTTTTGTTTTCCCTCGAGACCAGACATTCGTGTATATTTTATTATTTATTATTATTATTAATGTGCTAACCTTTTCATTGTATGAGTAATGTTAAATGCACCCACTTTATATTGCATTTGTAGGTGCGTCTCTTGGTAGTCGATAAAGGCTGTCAAGTCTTCTAGATCCATTGTAACACAGACAGGTATGCTGCCACTTGGCATGTTGTTATATAGTTTAACAATAAAGCGAGGGAGTGTCCACTGGAGCCACAAACTAACTTTGACATCCTGCAGTGACTGATTTATCCCATAAATACAGAAAATTATTAAAATAACTAGGTGGATTACAGTTTTGTACAGCTTGAAACATGAATCGTAATACAATTTGTCATGTTTTGCAAGGCTTAAAATAACAGCCCGCCAGTCAGTCATGGGTCATGATCACTGACCAAATTAGTTTTGGGTCGGTCATTCCTCATTAACATTACTGGTCAAAATGCCTGGCACGGTAAAGATTTGATATGACAAGTTCCAATTCTGCCAGAACATTGTCCAATGACTGGCCATTATTTTAAGCCCTGTTTTGTCTGTGTTAGATGTGCTTGTACGACGATACCTGTTCAAAACTGAGGACACGAGGACGACACTGGTATTCTTAGTTACTAAACGAAGTTGACACCAACAACAGATTCACTGATTGTAGCCAGTCTTATTTCATTTCCAGCCTAGTTCTTACCTGGTGTATTTGTGTGAAGGAAAAGGATGATTCGCTGGGTGATAAAACACTTTCCTTTTCAATATGTTCAACTGTTGATGAAGATGAAGTTACTGACATTCTTCGTTGTGAGGTTGAGTCAGGTATTGGTGGACAGAATTCAATGGAACGTGATGAAGGTGACACTACAGCAAGGAAAAATGACTCCAAGAGGTTTGCCAGCAGTTTTATCTGTTTATAAGGAAATGAGTGGGTAAAAATCTAATCTGTGCAAATAGATCCCTCTAGCACTGTGATAAAGTAATCATGCAAAGTACTTCCTAGTTTATATGTAAAAGTAAGTTGTATGCTAAAGAAACACAAATGAGGTTGTTCTACTATAGCTTTAAATAAAAATTAAGGTTTAATTATACTCCTCTCAACCAATCACAACCAAGTAATTTTGTTGAGTGTACTATAAATCAAATAATCCGAAAGAAAAAAGAATAATTAGATGAACCAATTAAATTAATAACGTTGCACTCCATTGTAGTTGTCGCAGAATATAAGGTATAGTAACTCTTACTTTCACATACCTGTTTACGAGAGGTACTAACTATAAGTGGTTCAAAATCTGCATGAATACAAAATCCAAGCATTGGTGACTTTTGGCTTTCCCTCCTTGAGGTTCCCTCGTGGGCACGAGATCCTGAACGCAGAAGTAGCGAAAGATTTGTTGGGGAAGATGGAGTTGAGGTCTTCGCTGAAGCAAGAACAGCGGTACACGAAAGAGGAGAAACAATATAGTAGCATACAGGAGATGCAGTCTTGTCAAAATGGTTTGATTGAAGATGAACAGAATAAACAGCTAGGTTCTTGGCACTCATTGTCCATGGTAGAGTGTCATGCTTTATAGAATCTTTTGCTGTCTGTTTACAAAGGTGAACTGGCAGAGATGGTCTGAATGAGACTTTGATGTGACTAGCGCTGAATATTTCCAGAGAAGGAAGACAGACAACTAAAGTTGATGGAAATGCTGACTTGCCCTTCCAGCTCTGATAGGCAAAGTTTTGGGCTATACTTGAAACATGTGGAGCTGTAGGAAAAATATACAATCAAATTTTCGGCCTAGTATATAAAAGCTAATGTATATATATTCTATTGATGGGTTGCAAGCATTCCCGAGAGAATTAAAAGACAAAAGCATGGCGGTCATTGTGGTGCCGTTAACAATGGATGGTAATAAGAAATCTTTTGTTAAATGGCAGCAACGCTCCCCCGAGAGGCCGCGATGACGTAACGTGCAATCGAAGAATAAGGAATATAAAACGCGTGCTTAAACTTGGTCTAGACCTAATCCAGGATTAGCTTAACCGAGCTTTTAAGAATTCTGGGAGCATTTTTAGTCGGCTAAAAAATGAAAATAATGATTAGCTACTGACCTTGAGAAATGGGACTCTCTGGTACAAAGATTAAAGTGCTCTGTATATCAACCTGTAAAGTAATGATATGGGCAGTTTTTCGTTAATCCGGTTACCAAAGGGACATTCAAAAGTGGCCGTATTAAGCGGGCTGTCAAAAATATGTTTTTAATTCAATTCAATTCAATTTATTCACACACTTTAAATAGAAATGAATATAACAAATCATAATTGTTTATATTTACAAGTTATTCTAGTTTTTATAAAAAGATATATAAATAAATATTAAATATAAAAAGCTACTACAGTGAGTGTGCAGTGATGGTTTAAGGTGGCTAAAATCAGTAACGGAAAGCTCCGACCAGTAGCATTCAAAGCGCGCTAATACAGACTTCATCTCTTTGTAGCCATTTGATTGTTAAATTGGTCAATTGATTGAAGTTTAAAATATTGGGTGTGGCATGTCGATCGTCCTTATTATGCAAAAGTTATGGGGAATTCCCGAAAAACAGTTTTTCGGGTCGGTCTCAAAAAATCCCCCATGGATTTTGTCCAAACTTAAGGATGTTGTATTTTGAGTCATGCCTTTGCTGATGAGTGAATTTCAAGGAATTGTATCTAGCCGTTTTAGAATTATTAAGCCCCAAAGTTGGTTGTTGATTTTTCAAATTCAATTCCATATCACTCACAGAGAGAGATCTAAAACAAGATCTGTTCAATATTTCGCCCTGGAATTTCGCATGAGAAATTTTGAATATGTTCTTTTTTATGGTATTGAGTTTCGAGGCATTTGCTTATATCTATTTGAAACTACAGTTCGGCAAATGTAGAGCATTTTCATAACAACATTCTCCGCACCTATAAGATTTTTTAAAAATTCATATTCCTCGCGAACGCCTCCATAGATTTTTGTAAGAATTTCAGCACATGAGATACAATATATATACAACAAAATGCATTCGTTTTGTTTCGGATACTGAATTTTAAGTGGCGAAAAAATAACGTCAAACACTACCCAAATATCTCACCAGTATTTGAGCTCAAGGTATTCAAGTCTTTTCCTTTTGTGTCATTAACGATGTCCGTCCAAGCTATTTGGATAAACTTTACAAGTCATTGTTACTTTTGATCACGCGAGCCGTGACTGTCCAAATGCGCATTTCCGGTGGCTCCAATTATAAAAACCCTTTCATCTTATTTTCAAACCTGCACGTCTGAATTTTGCAAATATGAAACTTGTAATATAACATTTTTATGTGTTGGTTCTTTCTTTGTTGTTCTTTCTTATACACTTATTTCAATAAAGTTAGTCACCTGAAAAGCTACAAAGCTGAGGTCGACAAGGATTATGGGTAGATACATTTTACATGTTTTAACCGATTGATAACTGTTGATGGACTTGCTCATCTTTTACCAGTTATAGTCTCACCTCTTCTGAGCATCCTCAAGCTGCAGTTTGTATCAAAAAAGCTTTACTTGTTTGAAATGAATTGTTTCCCATGATCCTCAGTGATCTCATCTTTCTAGGTTTTTGGTGACTAACTTTACTGAAATAAGTATATCATGCTTATATCATTTGAAAATGTCGAAAATTACCAAAACCCAAAAATTACCCCTCTTCGCCTGTAGCCGCGCCAGACCAGAAACAACTTAGAAGCAACACTAGAGCAAACTTAGACCAGAATGTTTGTAATGAAAACTACGTCATCAATCTACAAAAACTTATCACCGATTTAGAACAATGCACACACTGTAAAAATGGTCCGCTATCACTCTCAAATGTTACTCAAGAGCCAACTAGACAAGGGTTTGGCGTAGTGATCCGCGTATTATGTAGTTCATGTAAAAACGTCAACTTGATTAAACCATATGACAGCAATCGTAGTAAAGGAGCAAGAGGTCCCCCTATACCTGATATCAATACAAGATGTGGACTTGCAATGCTGCATGCTGGCTTGGGTCCCAGCCACCTTTCCAGTGTTCTTTCTATCCTTGGAGTAGCCCCGCCCGCTGTAGAAACCATCAAAAAGAGAGAAAGAGAAGTTGGTGCTGCATTGGAAAATGAAGCCAACCATAGCTGTTCACGAAGTATTGAGAACGAAATGCTATGGAGAGTGGAGATACTGAGGTTTCATCAGTCGAAGGATGTGTGCCAATAACAGCTACATACGACGGTGCCTGGTCAAAGAGAGGGAAATCGCGCGACTCTCTTACTGGGTTTGGAACACTCATTGGCGAAAATTCCAAAAAAGTAATTCAGTTCGCAACTCGCAATAGCATCTGTCGTACTTGTGATACTGCCGCTCGATCACAATCCGCAGTTAAAAACCACAACTGCAGGAAAAATCATACTGGCTCTGCAAAGTCTATGGAATCAGAAATCGTTGTGCAGCTATTTCGGGAGGCACCAAACCATGGCGTAACCATCGCAAGCTACATAGTTGACGAAGATTCAACTACAGAAAGCCACATACAGTGCCGCGTACCGTATGAGGTTATCAAGTGGTCTGACATTCAATATGCACGGCGCAATTTTGTGTCAAAGTTGTACAATATGAGGTGAGCTATGTTCATAAGTCTACCCATGTCAAAGATGTAAATTTAACTATCATCATCATCATCATAGTCTATATTACAACAGCCATTTTTTAATGCATTATGGGACGGTTATCTCGGCTCTGAACCAACCAAGGCTTACTGCGAGTTAAGATACTAACAAATGTCACTAAAAAATGGACTATGGTCATCAACACCACCATCACCATCATCATCATCATCATTTCTTTTAGTTCAACAGTGAAAGGATTGTCATCCACAGTCATTCAATATCTAGCCCGATGTATCATGTATTGTCTTCATCAGCACAAAGATGACCCGAAAGGACTACAAGAAGACCTGTTGCTGATCGTACCTCACGCATTCGGAGACCATTGTAAATGTAAATCATGGTGTGGTTACTTGAAAAATCCAATTACCTATAGCCACAAAGACCTTCCTGGAGGAAAAGATCTGACCGGGGAAGATTTGAAAGCTGCTATTAGCGATTATCTTGAGCCCTTTACTTCCACTGAGGTAACCAAAAAGCTGGCACATCTTGGAAGCTCACAAGCAAACGAAGCTTTAACAATGTGGTTGGCAGTAAAGCTCCCAAAAGTCGTCATTATGGCAGTTCCGAAAGCCAAGACTTTAGAGTCGCTGCTTCAGTATCACAGTTCAACGACGGCTTATTTTATCTAGAAAATGAAGCACAATCGCTGAATCTAGAGGAAAGAAAGTCAATGCAAATCGYACATCACTACTGGTGAGAATAAAAGGCAAGCGGACAGGCAACGTAAGTCCACTAAGAAATTCAAGCGACGAAGGACGGATCTGAAGAAGACGAAATTGCGCAAAAAAGGAAAGAAAGAACAGAAGGAAGGCACAACGTATGAAAGCGCTGTCGGAATATCTGCATCAGTCCCCCAAGTTAGTTATGCTATGATAAAGGATCTCGCTGAGAATATCAACGAGGGAGATTATGAAAAAACTGTCAAGATTGCAGGCATTCAGACACAACGTAGTACATCTACAGAAAAGGTGAATGTCCAAGCTATAAAAGAAGATGATACAGCTGTCTTTGTTCTTGATCTGGAGACTACAGGGCTGGAGAGAAGCAGTGACATAATTCAGTTGTCCTGTTTTTCAGTGGATAAAGCAAAGTCTATTTCCAGCTACATACTTCCGAAAAAACCTATCAAACCGTCTGCCTCTAAAGTAACAGGGCTAACCATTACATACCCCAATGGCCACAAGGTCTTGCTAAAGAACAACCAAGAAGTTCCAATTCATTCTTTCACTGAATGCATCGTGAAGCCTATTGCCATGCTCAAACAAGCAATAGATCAAGGAAAAACGCCCTTAATCATCGCTCATAATGGCTTCAAATTTGATTTTCCTATCCTGGCCAATAACCTGACAAGATCTAATCTGTTGGAATATTTTCTTGAATTACCCTGCCTATTTGTTGACTCTTTGATGTTGCTGAAACAGCTGTCTAAACACAAGGAATGTCCTATTCATATTTGCAAGTCCATGAACATCTCGGCGCTTTACATCTTTTTGTTCGAAAAAGAGTTCTTTGGAAATGACGCCACAGAAGACGTCAAAGCTCTGCTTTCAATACTGTATGAATCAAAACTGTCTATCAAACACGCTGATTTCATGGCTTCTGCAAAAGAATTTCAAGTGTTTGCAGACCAGGAATCCACACTTGAAATAAGAAAGGTAAAGAGAATAGAACTGGTGCGAATTGGACTTTCGTCATCGATGAGTGATAAAATTGTCGAAGCTGGGCTAAATTACAGAAGCCTTGTAGATGTCTACAATCAGAAAGGTGCGCGTGGACTTCTTCTGGCTGAACTTGCCTTACCAGCACCGTTTCCGTGGATGCGAGACCAGCATGCAAAACCAAGAGTCACAAAACACATTAAAACATTGAGCAATATAATTACACACTTTAAACATTACGTTTTCTCGAAAAACTATATTTCCAGATTTATTTTGTATTAATCCATATTGGTCAGTGCACAACCATCTACACTAGCAGCTTTGTCGCATGACTTGATAGTACTTTTACAATCAGATTGGCTGATTTCCTCAAAAAGTCGCGAGACAAGTTGCTACTGTAAACGGGCCTGTTTTACGGTGATTATCATCTAACAACCTTATACACAGAAGTGTAATGGCCAGTTTTATAAATAATGTGTATTTGATTGTAATGATTCGAACGTACTAGCATTATTGCTAGCCCTATCGTCTTTGATAACATCTGTGAACGCGAACTGTACATATAATTTAGAACTTTTAAAGAAACAAAGAGTCAGTTTTCAATACGCGCACATACAAGGCCAATTTTGAAATACAAATACTGGGACACGTTTCCGTACTCGTAGGCCGATCTGAGAGACACTTATGACACCGATGTGGTGATACGCCAAAATAATGGTCAGTATAATCATTGTAAATAAACGTATGTATAAATTTTTGCTAAGGAGCAACAAGATACATAAATACTTAATAAAATACGTCGCTGTATTACGCTTATAAAAAAGAGAAAATATCTGAGGCACCATTAAAGACTAGTCCGCATTGAGTTCGTAACTACTTTGACTGGAAGGTTTTTGGAGTCACCGGAAAAGCGCATTTGGACAGTCACGGCTCGCGTGACCAAAAGTAACAATGACTTGCAGAAAAGCGTATTCAAATAGCTTGGACGGGCATTGTTAATGACACAAAAGGAAAAGACAAAAACTTGAATACCTTGAGCTCAACAGATACTGGTGAGATATATGGGTAGTGTTTGACGTTATAAAATCTTATAGGTGCGGAGAGTGTTGTTATGAAAATGCTCTACATTTGCCGAACTGTAGTTTCAAATAGATATAAGCAAATGCCTCGAAACTCAACACCATAAAAAAGAACATATTCAAAATTCTCATGCGAAATTCCAGGGCGAAATATTGAACAGATCTTGTTTTAGATCTCTCTCTGTGAGTGATATGGAATTGAATTTGAAAAATCAACAACCAACTTTGGGACTTCCGAGATATGCTTCGCTTGTCACGCACAAAGGTTTCAGTATGAGGCTACGTGCCTTTGTGCGTGACAAGCGAAGCATATCTCGGAAGTGGGCTATTCTAAAACGGCTAGATATAATTCCTTGAAACTCACTCATCAGCAAGGGCATGACTAAAAATACAACATCCTTAAGTTTGGACAAAATCCATGGGGGATTTTTTGAGACCGACCCGAAAAACTGTTTTTCGGRAATTCCCCATAACTTTTGCATAATAAGGACGATCGACATGCCACACCCAATATTTTAAACTTCAATCAATTGACCAATTTATATTTAACAATCAAATGGCTACAAAGAGATGAAGTCTGTTTTAGCGCGCTTTGAATGCTACTGGTCGGAGCTTTCCCATACTGATATTAGCCACCTTAAGTAGTATAAACTTTCGAGTAAACCATCACTACATACAGAAAATATATTTTATCAAGATTGTGGTGCAAAACTAGCACAAGTATTTTTAATAACTATATGAATGTATATATTTTGAAATTGTAGTTATATATTACTATTGGGTATGAACTTTTGAAAACTTTAAATTAAAGGGATTTCTTCCCATAATTTTGGCGCAGTATATGTAAAAGTAAACTGACCATAATTGGTCCTAGCATATGGTGTGTAATAATTGCTTTTTGAAGCATGTCTAGTACTGTTTGAAAATGTGTAGTTTTTATCTCTCTCATAAAAAACTGCCCATATAATAAAAACCAATGGCCTTAACGATATTAAAAACTCAGCAACACACTGACAAATATGGAAAAGTCAAACGTTGTGCGAATGTGCTTGAAATTTAGTAACATTAGTTTAGAAAGTAATAAATACCTGAACAGCAAATGAAGTAATAAGAGGTAACTTCTCAAACAGCCATGCCTCAAATGTAAGACCATCAGTATTTTCCAGTTTGCTCTCGGTTGACCTTTCTTGTGGGACTTTGCCTTTTGAGGGAGATGAAATTGAACCTGATGACAAATATCAAATAATAAAAATATTTATGTTCCCAACTTTTTTACTGGTGGATATGCGAAGCGCAGAAACGAGTTATTGTGACGGGCCTGAATATGCAAATGTTTCACTCGCTCACTCACTAAGATGTTAGCAGATCCACACTGCGATTCCCAGTCATACGCGACCAACTGAGACCCTCAATCACAAACGAAAATTTGAGTTTTGGTGCACGTCAATCAAATCGGTTTCTTATAAATGTTTAAGGATTCCGACGCCGAATTTCAAACGCTTGACTGCAAAGCTATCGGTATGGACTTACCTGATCATGAAGACACTCAAAACATAGTCAATACAGATAACTTCACAACGACAAGAAGCGCGAGTGTTTGCACGTGAGTATTCACGCAAGTCCTGGTGTGGACACCAATAGAAACGATACAAACCCTTTTGATTGACGTCCGCCAAAACTCATTTTTTCGTTTGTGATTTCTGGTCTCAGTTAGTCGCGTGTGACTGGGAATCGCAGTAAACTTTCATGTCATCTGCTTACGAATGTTACACGACACTAGTCAAGTACGAAGCTCTTGTACAACAAAGACTACAATGCCTTTTTATATGAGGAACTGAACTGTCGATGTTCCATGTAAGGTATTACTGTGCATGTGGACACACTGTTTATGCGCAAACTCGCACATAGCTTTATCTCGGGATTATCTATATTAAATAATGTTATGCGCATCACTATCGGATTCASCATTGAAGATGAAAGAAATACTGGTGAGTATGATAAAAACAATCAATGCATGTATTAGCCTGCGCAGCCAGGCGTTCCTTGTGGGTTTGTGGGTTTTGGGGAGGCTTGGGGAGGAGAGCCTCCCCAAAACCCACAGGAACGCCTGGCTACGCAGGCTATGCATGTATCTGAATATTAATAAAGTATAAAAGACGTCACACAAACTACAACTCCTCGGAATGATAATTATCGTGCTATGATTACTGTGAGTCCATCTTAGAGTGACCTGTTATGGAATATTATGGCGTGTTTATGCTTGCTTTACTGAGGACCAGTGTATTAAAGCATTTAATTGTTAAAACACGGATGTTGGTCACTTTAATATTGTATGTTGTATGTTGGTCACTTTAATATTGAACCAAAATGAGGTGCTTTGATAGCGTAGGGTTTTAGGACAGGGAACCAGACATGTATCTTCTTGTATTAAACTCTTTGTTGTAATTTAAGCGTTGAAAGGTGGTGTTACACGGAACGACTTGCAACACCGATTTTTCGTGCAACGCTATTGCGCCATTTGTGTGCCGATTTTATTTTTTTCGACATGTTACACGGGAACGAATTTTCGCGCAACATTTACTTTAGTACCAGTCCACGCGCTGCCAACTCACTCACGGCTATCTTTTTTCTTCTTTTCTTGCTTTTATCATTTTTTTTTTCAACTACAAAAGTTTTATCTGTTTCAGTAGGTTTAGACAATTGTTGCAGTTGCTGTGCTTTTTAAACTTACTTCTTCTACAGTCGGCGCCATTTTGTTGCACGTCAAATCGCCGATGGACATATTACACACATCGATTTGCTGAAAATTCGTCATCTTGTGTTACGAGTTTTTGAAGCCAGATCAAAAACTTGCAACGTGTTGCAGAGTGAAAAATTGCGCGAAAATTCGTACTCGGCGCTATGTTACAAGACAACGATTTTTCGTACAACAGTGTTGCGCAAAAAATCGGCGTTGCAAGTTAAAGAGTTAAAAAAAGAATGTTGGTTTTTGAGTAATGACTTAAAAAGCCAATTATTCAATTTATCCTGTAAGTGGTCGCTATTCGATTCAACCTATTGTGTAGTAGACTGTAATAGTCATGTATAATCTGCTAAGGTATTGCAAGACCGGTTTCGGATCACTCCCCAGTGAACCTTCATCAGTTGCTTTTTAGCTTGAGATTTTGGTGTCGGGCTCGCTAGGAGCCGCTGAATGACTGACTAGAAACACCGATAGTGTTTATTTTATATCTACTGGTTTGGTTAATTAGTTTGGAGGCTAATGAATCATGGTCGGTGTATACGATATCCGGCATCCGGTTTAAAACAATAGCTGGCGGGTAGACTCGCGAAGGCACCATTGTTTGCGGATTAAAGGCATTTCGGTATAACCCTGGTGGCTGATACGGTGTGATTTCTGATTATAATAAAATGCAGTTTTCTTTACGTCGAAACAACACATTTGTCACTTTCAAAACGCAAAGGTGCATTATTATGCATTATTCTTTACGTGCGAACAACAATAATTTGTCGTTTTCAATTCGCAAAGGATATGTGGTCTCCAGCTGCCTCTATATCAATTCAAAATACTTATAGAATTGTTACACTCTAGTAGAATAAATTTTAACTATTGGTTTTCAAGGAAAAGAAATAAAGCACAGCCAATATCAATAATTTTATATGTATTTTGAATTGTTATATCAAGGGAGCACGTTAAAATTTTGATTGTGTTGGTTTATCTTCGATTTTATTGCACGTAATCTAAGATATAACAGGCGTTCCTTGTAGTGCTTGTTTACGTGCGCGCGCTACACTTTATGGCAGGCGTTCCTCGCTTCAGTCGAGCTAGCGAATTTACTCCGAAAACCGACGAATTTCTTGCGAGGAGCGGAGCGACGTGTAAAAAGGGATTACACTCGTTATTYCCTTCCTTACACGATCGTACATCATTCGGATCGGCCGAAACCAAAACACTACGAGGAACGCCTGTCACATAATGGATTGCGCGCGCTAGATAGATCAACCAAGGACAAAACCTTTAATTTCCTTACACAAACAAAATTTTAATGTGCTCCCTTGGTTATATACAGCAAATTACAAATGAAAGTATAGTAGTGATGAAAACCTTTAAAATTGAATTGCATTTTGAGCTGTCAAGAGTGACTAGCTTTGAGTTTTTTTTCGATGATATCTTACGCATGTATAGAACAGTTGCATTGCGTGTTCGTGTAAGGAGCTCAAGAAAGTTGACGTTCATGATCGGTAATAATATTTTAGCCATTGTATATTCAATCAATTCCATATATTACATTTTAGTTGTCACATTAAAAAAATATCCTGCAAGGTCAGGATGCCAGAAGAAAAAAAAACCGTGCAGAGGTTGAGACTAAAAAATATATCGTACAACAAAAATTCCTGCAACCCACCATCAAAAATCTAATGGTCCGTCCCTTATTAGGTCATACAGTATGCACATGACTGCGCAGATCACCTTTCATAATTATTTATTCATACATTATCGTTGTGGGTAAAGTAATTAATAATTACCTCTAGCATAGCTCTTTTTTCTAGGTGTCCCAATGGATGGGGTGCGGACCAAAGATGCTKGTCTTATTCTTCGATCTTTCTCAACTTTCCTCATACCGGATGATGAGGAGGCAGAGGGTTGGTAAGCAAGCCATGAATAAAGCAGAGGGTCACAACACACCGATATTCCCTTAGCTTGTAATAATACAACATTGGATGCTTCTGTGTTATGTAGATATCCTAAGAAGGAAAAATAAATTAGTAAAATGAATTAGCGAAGAAATAAAACAAAGAAGCAGTGAAAAGAATTCTAACTATTTACGTGTTGCAAACTGACTAAGGAAAAATATTTTTTGTTGTTGCTTGCCTACCTTGGAAACTTTTGATATCTTTTTTCTCCATGTATCGTGGTAATTGTAATGTAAGGCTAATAACTGGTCCAACATTCTCTACTTCGTCTTCGTGGTATGTTGAATTGTTAAATAAAGTGCCTTTGTAGATTTCCTTAGTGTCACAAGGACCCTTAATTATTTGTGTTACTGCTGTTCGCTTCTCTTCACTATCAGGTAACCTTGTTGCTCCTGTTCGTTCAATTAGAAAAAAGAGAAGCATTCATTTTCAAGTAGTTTTTTACTGATGGTGATGTCTTGTGGACTATTCATTCAGTCATCTTGCCATTTTTTATAAGAGCACTTACAAGGGTATAGTCAAGCGGAAATCGACTTATTATTTAATACCATCGCATTGTCTAATATTTTATATGGGCTCCCAGTGTATGGTGTCGGCTGAAGCTGAACTTACAACCGTTCAGTGTTTTCTAGACAGATGTAAAAAACGTAAAGATATTCATGATCTTTTAGAAAAACAAGACAAGAAAATATACACTAATGCTTCGAGTTTAGGAAGTCATCCGTTACATAAAATGATGCCAAAAGCTAAAAACACTAGATATCATCTTAGGAAAAAGTAAACTATGAAACCTTAAAGTTCTTTTGTAAACCGTCTAATATCTAATTATAATTTAGCTTAATTAGTAGTTAAATTTTATACACTTAAAATGATCATTATTAGAATTGTTTAGTAATTTTTACATTATATATTTACTCTTTCTTCTTTTCTTCTTTTATATAAACATTGCATTTTTTATTATTCTTATATTGTATGTGTTTTTATCTTATGCAATAAAGACCTATTATTATACATTTTACTTAGTATCTCAATTCTGATTGGTCGAGAGCCCTCAGCCAGTCCCTGATATCATGTGAACTCGACATGATAAATGTATTATCTGTAGGGTTTTTTTTTTTGTAGGAAAACCTACAGATAATACAAAGATATAACTAGCTAAAAACTAGTGTGAGCTGCGTCGGTGTTTCTAATGAAACAGTAATGATGAAAAGGTAAATTATAYACCGTGAAAAGATGAAAAAACTTACTGAYGTTTCGGACGCTAGTCCTTCGTCGGAGTAAAAGAGCTCTTTTGCTCCGACGAAGGACTAGCGTCCGAAACGTCAGTAAGTTTTTTCATCTTTTCACGGTGTATAATTTACCTTTTCATCATTACTATTTAAAAAATCCTTAACTTATTTTCATATACTTTATGAAGAATTCTTGAAATATTTCAATTCTGAATTAAAAATTTTGCGTTTTTCATGCGACATCATGGCGTTCATAATTCTTGTCTCTATAATTTAATGTTCATGGTAATGTTTTTCCATTATACAAAATGTATAATAAAGCAACTATTGAATTCTGTTATCACATAATATCATAAATTATCAAGACCTATTATCAGCCTTCGGCTTCAGCAGATAACATAGCCGAGGTCTTGATAATTTACGATACCATGCTCAACCTCATCCAATAAATAATTGCTTATTATTACTATTATTATTATTATCATTATATTATTATTATTATTATTATTTATTATTATTATCATTATTAAGTAGTTCACCATGGTAAAGTTAAAATGGACAATCATAATGGTAGACTCAAAGGAAATTAGAACGTCTGGAACCCAGAGTATAGTTGTACTAAATCACTAGATCATGATCAAATGTCTTACCTTTTGATTTGATGGTGGCACTTATTGTTCCAACAGAACTAGTTGTTGTCATAACAACAGATGTGTTACAGCATTGTATGTCAATATTTGACATGTCCAGTTCTAATTCCGATTGGCTATTATTACCTACAAAAAGTGACATTCAGTGTGAAGTTTTATTCAATACTTGATAGTGATTATTTCTGATGAATATCACACTTCAACTCACTGTGAAAATCCAATGTGGATGCAATTACAGTTGTGGGTAGGACTGGAAGTATCTTGTTCTGCATCCACATTGTAGACCATGAGGCAAACAGGTGTGACAACAGCAGGAACTGTGCTTTAGTCAGGGAGAGGGAAATGGAAGGAACTTCAAGGTGAACCTCTGTTCTTTTTAGAGTCTCATTTTTCCTGTTAAAGAACAAAAATCATGCTATGAAGAGAAATTGAAGTATACTGAGAAAACTATGCTTAGCCTAATTAAAGAAAGCCAAAAAAAGAATTATATGAATAGTTACGAAAGTGTTTTCATCTCACCATGTATCTGGTAGAATGCAGTCTTTGACTGACAGGATTGCACTGACTGATGGCATGATATTGATGAGGGCTGATTCAGGGATAGTGTGAGAAATGTACATCTCTATGTTAAAGACCTGAATAACAAAGTAAAAGCTTGCATTCCAGACATAAACTTGATGCATTAAAGTGCCCCTAACCCCTAATTCAATATTTTCGGCATTGACTCTACAACATTTGTAAAAATAAAATATCTATATTTGAGTGTCTTAGTCATTCTAGTGCTTTCACACTAATTGGGGACACTTTTCAGTCAAACCCACTGCCACTACATACAATGAACCCAGAGCAAACTCTCGTAGCATAAGAGAGAACAACACATCAAACAAACTCAATTTACATGTGGCGACCGCAGGGCTTGAACCAGTGATCCAACCTATTGGCCTCACGACGTTTAAAAACAAAGCGTTAGCAGCGTACACCACCCAGGCACCCATAAAGTAAATAGTTGAATAGTTGAATGGTAAAATGCTTTTTGCTCTTGTAAGGTTTCCACCTGGAGGCCAAAACCTGAGGAGGCATATATTGGAGTAAAGGTGTATGTATGTAGGTATGTTGTTATATTGATTTCACAGCTTTTACGAACATGAAAGACTCACTAGCTTGTTTATGTTTTTCAATAGATTCGAGTCATATAAAAATAGTTTACCAATCAAACAGATTAGTTTAATTTAACTGTGAAAATAAAACAACAACAAAGTACACAAACCTGAATAACAGTGTTGTTGAATGCATGATGAAGCATGCTTTTACTGGCAGGAAATTCAGCATTTGCAATGATTAGCTTGGTAAGCTCTGTAGGATACATTGGATTATTGCGATGTATTTCCATTCTGTTGATCGATATGACAAGTGCTGGCTGGAATGATTGATCATCTCTTGTTTTCTGTAACATGTAACATAGAYTGAATTTGGAGAACTGTGGTTTAATAACATGTTAGCCTTGGATATAATAACAATGATAACGTTAAAGTATAAAGTATAAAGGACAAGTTAGTGTCATGTGACAAATGACAAGTGATGTGTGACATGTGATAAGTGAAAAATGATATGTGATATGTGATAAGTGATATGTGATATGTAATAAGCAATTATTGAATTTGGTTATCGCATGATATCATTATCGCATGATACCTTCGGCTTCTGCAGATAACACAGCCTCGGTCTTGATAATTTACGATATCATGCGATAACCGAATTCGATAATTGCTTTATAATACATTTTGTATACTAAAAAAAATTAACCTGAACTTTAAATCATACACTGTAGAGACAAGAATTATGAACGCCATGATGTGGCGTGAAAAATGCAAAATTCTTATTATTCAGTAATATTTTGAGAATTCTTCATAAAGTATATGAAAATAAGTTAAGGATTCCTTAAATAATTGTTTTTATTATATAATTACCAATGAAATATCTATTTTTCTCTATTCCGAAAAATTGATATCTTCACACGTGAAAATAACA